CGTTTTCCTTCCTTCATTTTCCATTTTCCTTCAATTCATTCATTCATACTTACATACTGTTTCCCTTCCTTTTTTTCCCAAAGGGAAGCCCTGGAGAAATGGGAGAATCTGGTCCTTCAGGAGAACCAGGTATACCTGTAAGTATCTCCTCAACATTTGTTCCATGTTTCTCTCTCGATCTCTAATGAGGCACTTAAGATGCTGTCACATCACCAGTTGCATTTGGATTATCCTGGATTAGACTCATGGAAAACACAGAATCAGCCATTTTGCATTTGTCTTTTTAGGGAAATCAAGGTATCTCTGGTGAGAGAGGGGAACCTGGCCAAAGAGGACCTCCTGTAAGTTACTACTCTAATCATTCCATTCATAAGACCCAAACCCGCCACTATGGCACTCAAAAAACTGAACCAGAATTCTGGAAGCTCCATCTGTGAGCCTGGTGATCATAACAAATTTAGATTTCTGCTCCGAGATGTTTAGAGCCTGTAACTGTAGACTAAGGAAGATGGCCTTGATAGTGATATGCAAGCTCTGTTGCCAAGACAACAAGGGATGAAAGAATTTTTAAGTACATAACATTCAGATAACATATGGAAGCAATCCTGACACCTCCCAAATTAGGCTGTTGATTTGAGCTCTGAGTTTGGCAATTTGGCTGCAAATGTTTCGTCACCATTTGAGGAGACGTCGTCAGTGTGTTTTGAGTTGTCAGCTCAACTAAAACGCAGTGACGACGTCTCCTTGAATGGTGACGAAATGTTTGCAACCGAATTGCCATGCTCAGAGCTCAAACCAACTTCCTAACTACCAACCTGAGTTACTAATATCCAAACACATTTCAACCTCTAATTCAATGAAATACAAGGAAAGAAGGTATAAACACAGTCAGATTTGCAGGATTCTGTTATCCTAGATCAGAGGTCTCCAAACTTGGCAACTTTAAGACTTGTGGACTTCAGCTCTCATAATTCTTATGTTGGCTGGGGAATTCTGCGAGTTGAAGTCCACAAGTCTTAAAGTTGCTGTCAACTGTCCCATTGCAGCAACAGAAATTCCTGGGGCGTTTATTTTACCAAGGATATATATAGCTTTACTGATAGATCCATACAGGCACAGAAGAAGCAAAGCTAGCTCTGAAATTTTTGCATGAAAAACAGGACCGTTATTTTCTCCTTTCCCCCATTTGGGCCGCCCATTGTCCACCAAAACAACATGTTCTTTTTATTTTATTTTATTTAAGTCAGCACCTTCGGAAGGTTCCCATCCCACGGCCTTGAAGTGTCAGGATTTTCTCAGGCTGCCAACAGGCTCACGGAAATTCCTCACCCAGCTCCCAGTTCCCAATACATTCCAAGCATTCCCCTCTCCCTTCCCTTAGTTTCTTCTTGAAACGTTGTGAGTAGACGTGCATTACCAGTCAGCCTTGACAGTTGCCAAGTTTGGAGATCTCTTATTCAAGTCAATATCAATAAAATAATTTCAGCCTTCCTCTGGATTTGATTTTGGGCCTGGACTATCTCATGGAACTGAAACTAGTCCGGAATTAGATAATCTTCTTTCTGACCAAGGACTACATTTTTTATCAGGGCCATCGGTGTTTGTCACAGTTTACTGTCTTCCTTCATTGACCCATTCTTTTTTCTTTTTTTTCCCCTGCAGGGACAATCTGGTCTACAAGGACCTCCAGGAGCAGCAGGTGTCAGAGGTTTCCAGGTAAATCAAATTCAGAAGACAATTTTGGGATGGAAAGGGCAACTTTTCCCAGGCCAGGTGAGGGGCTGCAATGTGTATCTGTATCCAGCTTGTAGGAGCACTGCCAAGGATTTTATGATGTCAACAAATTTATTTATTTGATTTGTCCATCGCTTACAAGATAATAGGTATAAGTATAAACATAAGTAAGAATACAGGAAATAGGCACGAATAAATGGGGACAATAGGACAGATGAAGTAGGTGTTTTTTGCCCTCTGCAACTTTAAGATGTGCAGACTTCAATGCCTAGAATTCCCCAGTCCATACGTCTTAAAGTTGCAGAGGGCAAGAAACACTGAAGTAGAATACGTGTATATCCAATTATCCAGTCTGCTCTTCCCAACACTCTTCTTTCCTGTGTGGCTGAGGAATTCTGGGAGTTGAAGTCCATACATTCTTAAAATTGCTATGTTTGAAGAAAAACAGGTATAACTGAAAGTAGTGACTCATAGGGATCTGTAATATGGAGGTTTGCCAGGTTGCCAACCATCAATTTTTGAGTTCAAAGCTGGCTGAGATATTTTCTCCTTTTCAGGCTGTTTTAATCCACCTTCTGAAATGTTGCTGATTTCAAATAACTGGGCAGTTTGATTCCAATATGAGATCAAATCCCTTTCTCCCTTTTTCCCCCCAGCTTTCTCTCTTATTTCTCTCTTTTCGTTTAACTTTCCAGGGTCGTGCAGGACCAAGTGGGGAACCGGGCCGTCCTGGTGCCACTGGGCTACGGGGTGAATCCGGCCAGCAGGTAAATCCTCTGCAAAAGTGAATGAATGAGCCGATGAGGCTCTGATGAATGTAACTTCGATGAATGCAATATTCTTCTGGGTAGGGCTGCCATATTTAATGTGTTCCTTCAATCAATTTGGTCATGTGAGTCAGGGGTCCCCAGTCCCCTGGGCTATGGCCTGTTCAAAACCAGGCCGCAGGACAGATGGTGTCCTGACCCAGCTCCCCAAACAGGACAAACCCTCTGTAAACAATCAACGATTCCTTTATTAGAAGCTCCAGCAGCCCCGGCTAAAAGTTTCTCTCTCACTACAGGTTAACAAGTCCATCCATTCGAAAGATAAATAGTTGTCTGCCACACTTATTCATCTCCGCCCCCTGCCTTTTATCCCCAGAGCTAGGGTGGGGCTTCGCTAGCAGCAATGGCTCTTCCATCCCAAGGACCGGCCCATAGATTTCCACTGCTCTCCTCTCCTCTGCCTTCTGCACCCCCACACGTCAGGCACTGGACCCAGCTGCTCCTTCTCTTCCTCATCAGCCACCTCCAAACCTGGGGGCTGTTGACTCTCCATCTGAGGGCTGAGGGACACCTCCAGTGGTGGGATTCAAATTTTTTTACTACCAGTTCTGTGTGCATGGCTTGCTGGGTGTGGCAAGGGAAGGAGACTGTAAAATCTCCAGTCAGAGGTGGTATTTGCCGGTTCTCTGAACTACTCAAAATTTCCGCTACCAGTTCTCCAGAACTGGTCAGAACCTGCTGAATACCACCTCTGGACACCACCACCACCACCACCCCTCTCCCTCTCCCTCTCTTTCTCTCTCTCCCTCCCTCCTTCCCTCTCTCTCTCTCTCTCTGCCAGCTCTATTCCCTCTTCCTACTCGGAGCTCTCAGTTTGCCTTGATGCTCCCACGCCGCCTCCTCTTCCTCCTCGGATTCGGCTGCTGGAGGGGCCGGCGGCCAACACACCACAACAGATGGGAAAGCATCCATGCATGAAGCTATAATCACACAAATGGAGCGGCCCCTGCATGCACAAATGGAGCTGGGCATGCGTGTATGTACACCTGCCACTCACTCACCACCACTGCACCGGGCCAGGCCACCAAGCTGGAAAATTTGGGGGCCACTGATCTAAGTTACAGAATCAATTTATAATAATTCCGCTGAGGGAAGAGGGCTGCAAAGCAAGATTATTATTTTTTTACTGCATAAATGTTAGTTGTTACTGTCCTTAAATTATCAGTACTAGTATAACAGGGTTGGAAGGGACCTTGAAGGTCTTCTAGCCCAACCCCTTGCTCAAGCAGGAGATCCTACACCATTCAGGACAAATGGCTGCCCAAGCTCTTTTTAAGAACCTTCCTAAAAAAATAATTACTATTGTTTTCCCTGTTATAGAAAATTAAAAAAATTTTTTTGAAGACCAGTTATTTCAAAACACCTGTTGGGTGGAAGGCGGAGCTTAGCGGCAGCTCCACCCACACTGTGACGTATGGATTCATTGCATGTGATGTCACTTTAGAACATGAAATGGGCGGAGCCTGCCACCCGTAGCTCATGCATTTCCTGCAGTGTTTCTCACCCTTGGTAACTTTAAGTTTTGTGGATTTTAACTCCCAGAATTGACCTGGCTGGGGGAATTCTGGGAGTTGAAATCCACACCTAGCTTCAAATTGCCAAGGGTGAGAAACATGAACTATTGCAAATACGGTCTTAAATTTAAGCAATAAACTTAGACGCAATAAACATTTTAAATCACTTTGTGGTGAGAGGAGCAGCAAACAAATTTAATAAATAAATAAAGAAATTTTAAAAACATTCAGATGCAGACGTACCCAGTCCAAAAGGTACTTATTTATATTATGTTCTTGCAACTTGAGAAACTCGCTGGCCAATTATTTTTGGCAATTCTTTTTCTTGCTTCTTCTTTATTTGTTTCCAGGGTCCTACTGGGGTTTCGGGACCCAAAGGTAACCAGGTAAGATAAAGATCTCAATTTTTCGGATGCATAAATCATATTAAACCATGGCTTGTCTAATCCTGGTTTATAGCATAAATCTCAGTGGCTGGACTCATCCAGTAAGCTAGCCATACAGATCACATTATGGTTTGATCATGGTGTGAAAAATTAGTTTATGCCCCTAACAGCTCATGCAGAGGTCAGCTGATCCAGGTTTGGATCGGTTCACCCAAACCCTTTGTTCCGATTCTGCACGGTTTGGAGAACCAGCAAATCGGACCACCAGCTGGCCATGCCACGCCTGTTTTTAGGGCCGTTTTCAGCCATTTTGGGGGTGAAAAACGGCCTGGAAAAGTCCTCCAAAACAGCCTGAAAACAGCCTGAAAAATGGCCTGAAAACAGCCCGAAAACCAGCCTGAAAACGGCCCAAAAATGGCTTGAAAATGGTGCAAAAACAGGCCCAAAAATTTAACCCGTTGTTAAAACATTTGCAGCCCCACCACTGAGCACATGTGTAATATTACCCAAAGCAACACACGTTCCATCCTTTTGGTAAGTGTGTTGTGCAACACTGCACCCGTGGCATGAAAAGGGCAGAGCTGATGTTGCAGAAAGAAGAGGCTGCCGTTTGTTCTTTGGTCAAAGCTTCAAATCATGCCTATCTGACCAAGGAGCGAGATGCAATGGGTGAAGTCTGGATTCATTTCCTTTAAACAAGCTACTATTTGGTAGAGTTATTTCAACAGTGAAATAGGTGGATGGAGCCCTGGTGGTGCAGTGGTTAAACTGCGGTATTGCAGGCAAACTTTGCCCACAGCCTGAAGTTCGATTCTGACGGGACTCAAAGTGGACTCAGCCTTCCATCCCTCCAAGGTCGGTAAAATGAGGAGCCAGATTGTTGCAGGCAGGATGCAAATAACACTTACATGGTAAACCACCTAGAGCAGGGGTCTCAAACACAATTTACCTGGGGGCCGCTGGAGGCAGAATCTGGGTGAGGCTGGGCCGCACATAGAAGTGTTTAGCCAGCTAGCGACGCATGGAGAACACACTAATATTATACTTTCATATCACGGTGGGGGCCACAGGATATCGTCCTGCGGGCCGCAATTGGCCTGCGGGCCGCGAGAATGAGACCTCTGACCTAGAGAGTGCTGCAAAGTGCTATGGGGCAGTATAGAAGCTTAAATTCTATTACTATTATTATTGCTATTGAAAGACGGCATAAAAATTAAAACAAATAATTGGGGTGCAAATATCTTGACTACCACTAGATGGCAGCGTATTAATTAAATTTCTGCCTCTCCATATTTCTTCCACAGCCAAAAGATAGAATCAGAATAGAGCTGGAAGGGACCCTAGAGGTCTTCTAGTCCAGTCCCCGGCTCCAGCAGGAGATCCTATACCGGTGGTGGCTAACCTTTTTCGGCTCCCATGCCTATAATTGCATGCGTGCTCATGCGCTCGCGTGCCAGCACCCAGAAGGCAATACGTCCTGGGCCTCTCCCACACCCTGCACATGCGCGCGTGATCCCCCCACCACGCGCCATGCATCTCTGCGTGTGTGCGTACGATCACCACCACACGACATCCATATCCCCACGCGTTGTGTATCTCTACACATGCGTGCGTGTCTCCTGTGCCCCCCTGCCCCCCTTGTGCATGCGCGCCAAATACCCGACAATCAGCTGTTGGGTGGCGGCGGTGCGCGTGCATGCGCAGTGAGGCTCTTCCGGGCGAGTTCTCACGTGCCAGCAGAGGTGGCTCAGTGTGCCACTTCGGGCACGCATGCCATAGGTTCACCAACATGGTCCTATACCATTCCACACAAATGACAATCTAGTCTCTTCTTAAAAACCTCCAGTGATGAAATACCCACAACTTCTGGTGGCAAGCTGTTCCACTGGTTAATTGTCCTTACTTTCAGGAAGTTTCTCCTTAATTCCAAGTTGCTTCTCTCATTGATTAGTTTCCATCCATTGTTTATTTTCCTGCTCTCTGGTGCTTTGGAGAATAATTTGACCCCCTCTTCTTGTGGCAGTCCCTCAAAATACTGGCAGACTGCTATCGTGTCACCCCTAGTCCTTTTCTCTAATAATGTGCTGTAATTCTATTTTTAAAATCATAGGCTTTTAACAAAATGTAGAGGAAGTCTTTGACTTACAGCCATTTGTTTAGAGACCGTTCAGAGTTAGAACGGCACTGGAAAAAGTCACTGAGGACTGGGGCCTTGCACTTATGACTATCGCTGCATCCCCAAGGTCACGTGGTCAAAATCCGAGTGCTTGGCAACCAGCATATGTATTCACAGTCTTTCCAACATCCCTGGGTCATGTGATCGCCATTTGCCACTGTCCTAGCTGGCTTCTGACTGGCAAAATCAATGAGAGATGCCAGATTCGCTGAATGACCTCATGATTCACTTAATAACTGCAGTGATTCACTTAACAACTACGGCAAAAAAAGGTAGTAAAATTGGATACGAATCACTTAAAAATGGTCTTGCTAAGCAAGGGAAATTCTGATCCCAAGTGGAGTTGTAAGTTGAGGACTACTTGTAGCTACAACTTGAGTAGTTCCTTCTTCAGTTAAGTTCGAGGCGGTTTAACGTTACAGACGTATTTTGGCATCCTTTTTCCTTAGCACATTTGTTGATCCCGTGTTTTTCTTTACTTATTCGCAAACCAGATTTAGAACCACGCGTGGCTGCCTGCTCCATAAATGTGAGAAAGTGTGAATTGTGTAGAACTGTGTAATACAAATTGAGCATATTTTATTCCTGTCCTTGACAGTAATTTTCCACACACTTGAACAAGGAAGCCCTCTTCTGCTTTAAATGAGAAAGTTTACTTCTAACCAAGAGCAGCAAATTTTATTTTATTTGTTTATTTTGTCAAACCTGTATTAGATAACAAATATAATTAGAACATGATTATTAATACATGAAATGGGTACGATTAAAAGGGAGACATTAGGACAGGGACGGTAGGCATGCTGGTGCGCTTATGCACACCCCTTATAGACCTTTTAGGAATGGGGTGAGTAGACAGTTTGAAGTTTTTGAGGTTTGGGGAAGAAACCACAGAGTTCAAGGTAGTGCATTCCAGCATTGACCACTCTTGTTGCTGAAGTCGTATTTCCTATTGACTGGATGTAACTCATAAAATTATTGACAAGCATCCCATTAAAAAATGCCCTTCATTGAAGGTTTAGCTTTGAATTGAAGTCATTTCTGTTAGGGATAACATTGGTTACCTAACTAAGTTTGGATAAAATAATATATAAACTATGTTAGTGAGTTTAAACTGTAAACTAAGTATTTTGGGTGCGGTTGTAAAATCATCATAAGAGGGAGCAAGAGAGCTCACTGTTTCCCTGGCTTATACTGGATTGCTGACAATGATAGATTGATGGTGATAACTGCGTGTTTGATGAGAGAAGAAAAGGGGTTTGATTTTTCTTCATATCTCTGACTGCAAAAGAGATATATCACTGGACTGATTGATTGTAAGTTTAATGAACTCTTTTTCGACACTGGACTTTGCAAACTGAATAACCCCCGGACTGACTGAACTTAGTGTATGAAATATGGACTGTTTGACTATGCTATAACTCTTGCTGGAATAAAAACTATTTAACTTGCACAGTGTATCTGTCTTACTGAGTTTAAGCTACTACAACGTTTTGTCTCACATATCTGCCTGCCTGCTAGACTGCCGTTGCACGTTCAGCTAGGGTGTATATCCCTAACAATTTCTTAGAGCTCAAAGCTTTGAGTTCAGAGTCCCAAAGGTGATTTTTTTTTTTCAAAAGGCAACTGGACTTTGTAGTATTTTTTTTTTCCTTTGAAAACATTTCACTTCTCATCCAAAACTTTCTTGGATGAGAACCGAAGAAGCTTCTTGGAAGAGAAGCGAAACACATTCAAGGGGGAAAAAAAATACAAGTAAGTCCAGTTTCTTTTTGAAAAAGCGCCTTTACCATGACCTGAACGAGTGAGAATCTCCATAGATATTTGAATTCAGAGCTGTGCTGTGCTATAAAAGGCTGGATAATTTGATTTAAGACCTGGACAATCCCAATTTGCGCTAATAATTTCGACCTAAAAGAGTTGATCATGAATATGATTGAGCAATGTTTTGGAGTTGCTCTAAAAAGGGGTATCAAACTCGACTTCATTGACGGTTAGGGTTGTGTTTGACCTCAGGGCGGCTGGGAGGGGCGGCATGACCAGAGTAGGCATGGCCAGCTCAACATCACTCGTGCCGGGGACACATGTGGTGGCCCAAGCACTCTGCTTGCAAAAATGGATTCATGACCTCCATTTCCAACTGCGATGGCCTCCTGCAACCCTCTAACAGCAAAAATGGAGCTTGCAAGGGCCGCACCTGGCCGTCCTGACTCCATTTTTGCTGGCAGAGGTACTATGGGCCAGTCCTTCACTGTGGTTTTTTTTAACATATAAATGTATTCTTTCTATTTTCATCTGCAGGGCATTGCTGGAGCAGATGGACCACCTGGAAGTAAAGGAGAACTGGTATGTAATGAAAATAGACTGGGTGA